AACCCTTCTATGAATCCCTTGCGCTTCACCCCAGCCCACTCTCGCCTTTAAAGGTCTTAAGCTCATGCTGTGTCCTTCGAGACCTCCAGGATATAGGTTATCTGCTATGAGAGGACGCAGAGCTGATTCCGTTTCCACCGCTTGATTCATATTGGCCTTTTATCAAGTGTTTATTGAATAAGTGAATAAGAGCAAAAATCATGAAGATACATTAAATTAAAAGTCAACAGCAGTGTGGGGGAGAAGGGAGAAATGAGTGTTAATAAAGACAAACTAAGAAGTGGAGAAAATGAGAAGACAGCCCCGACCAGAAAACATACACCACGGTCTACATGGATAGAAGAAGTATAAACAAAAAATATAAGAAGCAAGTAAAATTAAACATATAGTTGTTTTCTTATTAAATAAAAAAAAAGCAAAGATGCTGTAGGGCCAGAAAAGTAGAGAGAGATTCAATATTCACCATGATGGCGTTCAGACGTACAGATGGTGTGGCCCTAAGCCTGTCATACAAGAACTCTGACGTGATAAACTCAGAATATCAGGCCTCTCCCACAGACCTATCGAGCAGAGTGTGTATTTTTGTAGCACCCCGTGTGACTTCTAGATGCAGTAAAGTGTGAGAAGTAACGATGGAGCCATCTGAAGTCCACAGACAACGGCCACCTCTCCTTGCGATCGATGGTGTATTGCAGGACCGATAGTGTGCGGCCTCTCCCTGCGCACTCTCCTGAGGTTTTTCCAGGTTTCTGTCATATGCCTGTCTCCGCACTGAGTACAAACGATTCCAAGATGAAAATACACAACTCTCCCTGCCCTTGAAGAGCTCGTGAACTTCTTAGAAAAGGAACAGGGCAAAGGTGCCTTCCGAGCCTCAAATACGTGCTAGTAAACACAGAAAGGACAAACAATCACAGTGCTTGGGGCCGCTGTGGTAACTGCTCCAAGGGGACAGCACAAACATTAGGTTTCTCCCCTGCCAGCCTCAGCTGATGGGGACTTGAAAGTGACAAGAAGGAAATAAGATACTAGAACACAAAGCAAAGAAGAACGGCCCCGGAACTCACATCTCTCTGGTCTACAAACCTCGAAAAGTTCATCCGCCCAGTGGATGGGAGGAACAGTCACAGACAGGCAGCTGGAGTTGCATCTAATTGCATCCAGACCTCAGGAACCCACCTCCTCTGAGTTCTGCGTGCTCCCTCTACTGACTGCATTCTGTTCTTCTCATCTTCCCATCTGGAAGATAATGCCAATTCAACCACTAATCTCCTCTCCCTGGAGCTTTCCTCCATGGCTATGAAGAGGAGAGGCGCTTTAATAAACGTAAACAATTCATTACACCAGCAACTCTTCCGATCTGTATTTGTTTACAGGGGAGCGGTGCGGTAGCACCCAGTCCTGGGTAGGGTCATGGAGACTGAAAACAGAGTTCACTGAAAGGAAGTAATTCTTCAGGAGAATGTAAAATGGCAAGGAAAAGGGGGGCGATCTTAACTTCAGCAGCCTCTACTCTTGAACCCCATCAAGACACCCGAGATGAGCAGGAGGTCATTTCCCAGCTTCCTTGTTAAAGACAGAGGCCTCTCATTTGGAACACCTGCTTACAATTTACACAACGGCCAGGTCAGCCCTGGATTCCTTCTCTTCTCCGGTTCTAGATGTTAATTTGAGTTCAGGGCTTCTTCCTGTCCAACTTCCTTTCCCCCACTTCCTTCAGTGTTTCATAGTCCACGAGCATCAACTAAATGTTTGCAGTATCTTGTAATACTGGTGAAGATATTACCTTCATTTGGTTCTTGAAGAAAACATTAGAGGGAAGAAATCCTTTCCCTGGACTCATCATAGCCATACAGCAGATGGAAACACCCTTTAAAGGTGGTGCTGTGCCCAAGGATCCACTCGGTCCTGCTCCTCCCATCATGCAACAGTCACTTGGTCCTCTAGCTCTTCGTCTGTCAACCTCTATCCCTGTGTTTCTAAGATGGCCATTGACCCTCCCCATACCCGGATGGATGGTGTTGAAGGTCTGACAAAATGGCCAGAGTTCTAAAATCATCTTCCTGGAGATGAAAGAAAAACTCAGGGATAAAGTAGTCCCCTGCTGTTCACCCTCCCTCCAGAAGAAGCCACTCTTCCTAGCCAGCCTTTGCAAACCCAGTACCTGGTATGCAAAGTTGCAACTAAAGGAATTCTCTCTCCTCCTCTGCCTCCTCTCCTGTCACTTTCACTCCTTACTTTTTCTGCCTACCTACATCCACCCCTGACAAAGATCACACAGCCAAGAATCTGCACATGGGCAAGCTTCCTAGAGCGGGAACCAACAAGAGAGAGAAATTAAGCCAGTCAGCGGCACGCCCTACTTCTTTCCCTGCACACTGGCATCTGCCATGCCCTTCTGTTCCCTGGTCCATCATGCACCACCATACCTGGAACCCAGAACTAGAACCACAAGTGGTTCTACTCCTGTTAAAGCCACATCCTTGGTCTTGCGTTCCTGAGTCGTCATGGTCTATTAATTTTTCCTTCGTTACCGACCACAGGCTCTTTGATTGCAAGTCAACTCGTCCTTCTTCCCAACAGCAGTGTCGCTACGTCCCTTGCCACCCACGCCACAAGAGTGATGCCAAAAGGCAAGAAGACAAAGAACCCAGTCAGCTCTTTATGATGGGAAGGGAAGAGAGCCAGAACAATGACCCCAGGAAGACCCAGAATGTCACTGAACCACAGTCATGGGCACTGCTCACAATGATGGGACTCACAGATTCCTCACCAGAGTCCCCAAAATGGCTTTGAGTTCCAAGTAACCTCGGGCCACCTGTGGCAGTGCTTCCTTGACCCCTAGCGAGTCTTTTCCACCTCTCAATTCTCTCTAGCTTTCTCTTCCTCAACACTCCACCATTTTAACCTCTTCTCCTTTGCCTAGTGCCTGGGCCAGGGCCAACCGTGACAGTTTGGAACTTGGCTTCACCTTATTGACGTGCATGATGAAGGAATTGGCTGTGACCCTGCCCAAACCCCCTATTGATCTTATCACCAGGGAACATTCCCAAGACCTACTCCATTTCAGAGCACTGCCACAGGCAACCAGGATGCCAAAGAAGCTGTGTGCCCCGCCGACACCCGCCTCTCTTTGTCCGTCCGTGCATCCGAACCCTGGGCACATTGAGCTCATGTCCTTACCCATTCCTCTCTTTTATTTTGAAGTGAAATGAAGAGTTCATCCTCCCACTTGGAAGGATGAGACATAGACAGGGAACCAGCTCAGGTGTCTCTAAGGTGAGCACACACCAGATAACCTCAGCTATTTGTAGACGTGGTGAGAACAGGGTTCAGACTGGGATCCCACCCTCTCCCTCGCCTTACACCATGGTTACAGATTAGTGTTCCAGCAATGAGAGCTCAGAGAATGAGGCCTAGGGGAGAGGAACCGTAGATTTAGAAAGCATCCTTATCCATCTTTAACTGGACAATAAAGAGCTATCGCCTACTGTCATTTGGAGTGACTGCCAAGGACTTTCCACTACTTCCCATACAACCCTTTAGTATTTTTAGATTGTTTTTAAAGGATGATTATTTTTTGAAATGACTTGGTAGAGGGTCAGGGGATGTATTTGGAGGAGGACTACTGAATGTCCATGGCTCAACTCCATATTTTTGAAGACCTTTTCCCAGCCTCACTCCCACCTGAGACTGTCTTTGGAGTTTGGAAGGTATGTGGTCATTGTGGAAAGGTGGTGAGCAGCCAGACCCCCATCTTGGCCCTCAAGCCCGGGATGATCTGATTTTCTCAAGAGTTGTCTTGGCTCGCTTGAGTGACCAGCAGAAGGGCTGTTAGCTAAGCTGCTTCCATTGCTCCTGCTCTTTCTCTTGTCAAATGCTGCCCAACAGATTGGGCATAGTTCACATATTGTCACATTTTTATAGATGTATTATATATGTGATACATATTTCACATGTAGGACCATCTCAAATATTGCTAGAACGGATGAGAGGATAAAAATGAAAATATCAAACCTATTTTTGCGGGTACAGGGCGAAGACATGCAAGCAGCACATCTCTTTGTTTAACACAAAGACTCACGTGTCGGGTTCTGCACCCCTTCCACATGCACGGCGCTTTAGAACTCTGCAAGAGAGCCATTTTGCGAGAGTGTGGAAGTAACAGTTTGCTTGGAGGATGTGTGGGTATAAATAGATGTGTGGACAGAAGGAGAAATTTACAGCTCGGAAAGAATAGCTCACGGGGAAAGATACAAATGAAAAGCAGAATGTTGACAGGATCCCTTCTTTTCCAGTTTAAGGTTGAAGTCTTCTGCCTGCAGAATCCAGGTGTTCTAAGACCAAGCCAGTCCCCCTCTGCACCTGCCCCTCTGCAATAGGGCTCCTGGGGTCTGTGAGCCTAGTGTCAACCGTCTCTTCAGACACCAAATAGCTTTCGGGGCAATAGCCCTAGTAATCCCAACCATTATGCATGCATGTATGTATGTATTTATATCTTTATGCATTTATTTATTTTTCCAGAGCATGTAAAGGTAAAGACAGGAGATAGAAAAAACAGAAATGAAGATGGCAAGGAAAAAGACTCAGCTTGGAGAAAAATATCTAGATGCCCATCAAGGTTTAACATTAGCTCTGGGTGAATAAAATGCTGTTTAAGTAAGCAAAGCATACAGGTCCTGGCTGGCTGTGTCTGCATACAGACATACACCCCTTACGCCCTCCAACATCTTGTGTGCCTGCATACACCCACCCCCACCACCTTCCCAGAAAAAAAAACAAAAAACAAAAACCTGTTTGATGACAGAAGGAAAAGAAATAACCTGGAGATTCCCTTCTTTGTCACAAAAGTCTTTTCCCCCAAAACAACATTATTTTGATAGCATGCTATTTTTTTTTCTTCCAGAAAAAAAAACCGTCTGGGGGAATGGAAAAGACAGACAAAAACGAAGCATCCCTACCCCAGGTGAGGAGAAAGAATAAAATAGAATGTGCCCTACCTTGGTTTGTAGAAGCCAAACCTCTAGGCGGACAGATTAAGGGAGAGAGCATGTTGGGAATATCCAGGGTCCTCTTCTCGCTTGCATATCCACATAAGAAAGACGGAGGATAAAGGAACGGAAGAGATTTAAAATCCAATGTAGCGTAAATTTGGTTTTAATCTTGTGTCTTGAAGAGATGCAAATTCAAAGAAAAAAATTAATGCAAAGGGGAATCTCAGGGTGTGGAAAGCAGCTCACAATGCAGAATCCAGAGTCATTATTCCATGTGCATGTGAGGTTAGTGGCCCGAATATATATATTTAAGGAGTCTTCTGGCAATTACGGTTTTTTTTTTTAATTTTTGGAGCTTTAGTAGAGAAGTCTCTGTGTGAAGAAGCTCGGGGTTGGCTCCGTCCCTCCGTGGAGCATGGTCATTCCCAAAGCGTCCCCTTCCTAAGGGGGAAAAAAGAGGAGGTCAGGGTTTGATTCGCGTGTCCCCCGGAGGGTGAGCAAAATGCATGCCGGAAATATATATATGTATATATCAAGTCGTTATAAGAAAAGGGGGGAGGAAACCCTGCATTTCCCACAGAGTGCACGCGAGAGGAATTGAAAACAGCTGGCACCCATCTATAAATAATTCAGAAAAGGTCTGCCTATACCATTCCTGGGACAGGCATGGGTGAGAGGTGGGGAAAGCCAACCTGAATGGAAGAGAGGGAAAGGGGGAAGTGGGAAGCAAGGAGGAAGGCAGGGAGAGGAGGCTCCACACAGCAGTTCACACTCACACACTCGCGCGCGCGCACACGCACACCATCCCCACTTAACTCGCCAGCGAGTGCGGCCCCCAGCCCCATCTGCAATGCTGCTGACATGTCTGGCTCGCTCTCTTCATCTCCTCCGACTGGAGAGCCTCCTCCCACCCCGGGCTCGTGCTCAATGGGTTCTGATTGTGCACCGGCCGCACACTGGGCATTTCTTGGAAGGGGCACACTGACACGCGCGTACACACGCCCCCGACGCGCACGCGCCCCCGCGCGCACTCACACTCACCCCCGTGCACACTCACGCCGCCGCCGCGCTGGTGTGCAGCGCACCGGGTTGCACCTGCAGCCAGTGGATTGGACTGGAGGGTCGCAGCGCGTGGCTCCCGCCGCGGGCACCGCTGCCCAGCCTCTCCACTAGAAGGGATTAGCCCCTCAGAAAGATCAAAGGCGGCCCTACCCCCCTTCTCTCTTCCCCAAAATATCCTTTTGTTAAAAAAAAAAATAGCCCTATCCAAATTACCAAGTGCCGGGTGCTGCTGGATCGAAACGCTGTACCCAACACCAGGTTGGTTAACGGTGCCAAGGTTTCGACCCTTTATCTGCCTGATTTCCCCAAATCCCCAAAATTGAGACTCCAAAGCGAGCATTTACGTACCGGCTCTGAGCGCCTCCGCGGTGGCAGTGTCCAGAGAGGCGAGGCGGGTGTTGAGGTTTGAGGGGTTCCCTTTCCTGCAAGGCAGGATGGATGGATCAGTCTCCGGGGTTGGGAAGTTCACTAAGACTCTTTGCAGAGCCGAAGGAACTGCATTCGGACGCCAGCCCCGCTGGATGCCGAGGATGGAGAGGCAGCCTGACCCGAGGAGCGCTTCTCCATAGAGCCAAGCCCTGAGATTTCCTAGAGGTGAAGGAGCCCAAGGAAGTGGTGCTGGAAAGGGGGTGGGGGAGGACCTTCCTTTCTCAAAAAAGAGAAGAGGGGGGTGGAGAGGCAGGAGAGCCCAGATTCCAGTTGGTGATGATGGGAGCCGGGGGAGGGGAAGCGGGCGGGGGCAAGTCAAACGTTCGGCAGCAGGAGAGGAAAAGCAGGGGAGGAGGGGGGAGAGTAAGAAAAATGGGTATTAATCACCGGCGACGCTGGGAGGGCGGGGACATCAAAGGTCTTGGTCTTGATTTGGGTCTCACACTCAGGAACGTGCCACACAGGCGCGCGCTCGCGCGCGCACACAAACACACACACACACCCTACCTCTCACACTCGGGCTCAGGAGGAGAAACCTAAGAGGCAGGGTGTGTGTGCACGCGCGTCCTCTTGCTCACCACCCCCCACCCCTCCCCACCCCCAAACCCCCTCCATCACCCCCTCACTCCTACTGCTAAGACTCTCTTGGCTGAGGCTGCTTCTCACGTCATGAGCTGGGGGAAGTGGGGTAGCAAGGGGGTGGGAAAAGCTTATCCCGAGTCCGTGGCGCCTCCTCCTGGCCGCGGCGAGGAATAGCAGCGATGTAGGGCGGCTTAGGGGTGAGGGGACGAGGTGGCCCCCATGGACCACCGCTCAGAGCTGCGCGAAAAGCTCAAAGGCGGCACCGTAGACGGACATTGAACACACACACCCCCCCCCCCCCCGGACGTGCGGTCTGGGTGCTGGGTGCAACTAGAAGGCTGAATTCTTGCCTTCAGGGAGCTTAAGGTCTGTCTTAGTGCAGGAAGATAAAGGAAAACAATAGGGAACCAGGTGAATGTGATTAAAGGCTGAATTGTACGTGTGTGTGTGTGTGTGTGTGTGTGTGTGTGTGTGTGTGTGTGTGATTTTTCTGGCTGCTCGGGAAGATTTGAGGACTTTGGGGTTCTTTTTTGAAGTATATGGCGTATTTTTAAAGATCATGAGAAATGATGATAGACAAACGAATAATCCCCATACAAAATTATTTTTTAGCGCTGACAAACCCAGCTTCTCAAAAAAGGAAAACAGCATCCATTTCTCTCCCTCTGCTTAAGTTGCTTTATGTTTCGGGGGTCCTCGTGACCACTTGTAGTGTTATTTATTTTTCAATATTACTATTCTTGTAGGTGCATCCTTCTTGTCCTCACCCATTGTCGCTTCTTCAATGATCCAGAATATGAGGGTAGGGTGAACTTTATAGCGGTGAGACAATGGGCTTCACAACCCACAGGAAACAGTGCTGTGTGGGGAGCAACCAGGGACCTCTGGTCCCTAGAGCAGACAGCATAAGGAAGACCTGAGGCCAGATCTCAACAGCGATGCTGTCCTGCTCCCTGGACTTTCAGGCTTGCTCTCGGAATGTGATGTTATTAAAACATGAGAATGGAAAAAAAATATATACCGCGTGTTCACAAGCCAATTACTCTCCCTGTGACCGTTTTGATTCCTTCCCAAGACAGGGTGTTCGGCTACCCTTTGGACAGCTGTGGAAGGTTCCGCTGGCAGCACCCAGCAGTGGTCGCAAGCTCTCTCTGGGCACCTTGCTAGCAGCTGGAAGAAAGTCCAGATGCCCAAAGCCAGTTCCCAGTGGGCCCTTCAGAAGCACTCCGTCCTGGGTCTTCCAGAAATGGTCATCTCCTTCAGAATGGGATCCACGCCTTCGCAAGCACTCCTGCGAGCTGTCAATCGATTTTCTAAATTTCCTTTTCTTTTGCTTGTCACCTCCTCGGCCACCTCCTCTTCCCATCCTCCTTTCTACAAACTGCATCTTGCTCTCTTGTGTTTTCATTCTCCTCTTTGCCCAAACCCAACATTTTCATTTCAGCCTGTCCACGTTTGCTAGCAGAGAGCAAAGAAAGAACTCACAGACCCCTTGCCTCCAATGCAGCCTACTCTCTCCTTTGGGAGTCTAATTCAAGGTCTAACCTCCTCCGGGCATGCTTTTTAGTGACCTAAGCCTAAATTGATTTCTGTAACCATTTCCGGGATTTGCGAGTGAGAGGGGACATTTGCCCAACATCACACTCTGATTCTACCTGCCGCGTGTAGAGATGTGAGGACAGTTGACTCCGTGACTGAGAGATACACCTTGCCTGTATCATCCAGGTATGTAACATATTACTCGTACCACACACTGGGTGAAGAACTGGCTAGCCAGAAAGAAAAATAATAGCCCTATAGCCATTTGCGTTGAGCCATGCAATATTATTGGCAATTCCATCATGACACTCTCAATCACATGAAGTAACCATATTGACCTATAATAAAAAGACGATTTCATGAGGCTCACCTTAGAATTGTATTCTTTGGTATATTTCCTGTCTTCCCAACGAGTTGCTTAGTTCCTTTTTTAAAAAATAAATTGTTCTGAGAATTTCTTACTGTACTTTATAACATTTCCAGCCCTCCTTGTCGCTTGGTTCCTTAATGTGTAGGCTTATTTAGAAAATTAGGGATTTTCTGAGGTCACTTTCCTACGTGGCTTTTCTGATGCTAGGACTAAGTCACCCTAGAAACCAAGGGAAAGGAGCTATCCCTTCTCCAAAGTGTCCATTCGCCGGAACCAAGGGTTAATTCCCTTTCACTCCCAGCCTTCCTAGAAGCCACTTCTGTTTCTTTCCTTTCAGAACTTGGTTGAACTCAAGGCCCTGCACTTGCGGAGAAAACGCTCCACTACTGAGCTATATCCCAAGCCCCCTTCCTACTTTTATTTTGAGACAGCCTCAGGATGTCACCCAGGCTGCACCACAGGTAGCCCAGAAAACCTCGAACTTGAAATTGCCCCACCTTGGCCTCCTGAGGAACTGGAATCCCACACCTGAGCCACCCAGCCAGGCTTCTACCATCCACAAACTTCTCCAAAAACTACCTTGGGACCACTCAGACGCGGGAATTTGTAATGTTATTTTCCCTGCTTTGCAAGGAAGACATTTGCTTCCTCCTATTCTGCCTACAAGGCAGGCAATATCTCCAGGAGAAAATGGGGGATTGCACTTTGGAGCATTGTGTATTGAGGAAAATCTCTTGCCTCGGGCTGCTAAGGACGTAGTTGAATGTATTCTGCCAGCTGACTGGACTCAAAGAGAGGGTTGCAGAAATGCTGCAAACACTTGTCCTTCAGCTAATGGGCAGACATAAAGCCCATACCTTGCAGGACTATGTGTGTGTGTGTGTGTGTGTGTGTGTGTATGTATGTATGTATGCATGTATGTGTGTATGTATGTATGCATATATATATACACACATATATACACATGTAGATATGGCGATGGCCTTCAGATCAAACACTGGTGACAAGAGTCAAACCTGGAGCTTATAAAATTTAGGATGCCTGTTTAAGAGAAAGAATTTTTAAAAAAAAATGTTGTGAAAGTGAATACTTAAAATGTGGAAATAAATCACAACAATTTAAAATTCTTTAATATTCATAAATGTTATGAAACAAAAAAATTTAAATAACAATTCTTGTGCGGGAACTGCCTGACACTCTGCAGCACTAGCTTTCATGTTTAAAACACATACCTTGGAGCATCTATTCACATAATGGTTTAAAGTAACATGTCTATGAAAGTAATCAAATAACAAAACGATCCAAGCTGTTCTTCAGCATGGCCAGTTGGCAGCTGTTTTTCACTTTGGAGATAAATTGAGAATAATGACTGTTTTATTGGTAGGCATGAAATATGCTTTTTTGGTAATTGTCAAGTTTGGGAAAGAATCATCAAATTTCATTTTTTATATGGTTGTAATGTTATAAGTATTTCAACTTGTCTTAACTAGCCTTAAATTATCTTGAACTGAAGACTCCGGTTTTTAACGGCTTTACAGGTTTTACGTTATCATTGCCGGTGTCAGGATTTTATCTCAAATCAGACAGAATTGAAATCTTTTTCTCCTAGGTGTCCTAGGTGAGTCACCCCACCTCACTAATTAGATTAGCAAATAATGCTGGAGTCTGCTCATTATTTCTGTTCCGAATTCTCCTTTCTTCTTTGGGAACTCCGGTTTCCAGGTGATTGGTGTCGGAGGAGGGCTGTGACTCTCTGCCAGATTACTTTCTGCTGATGGTGGTGCTCAGCCTCAGCTCTTGTTCTCCGTTTTCTTGATTTCCATCTGAGTTTTCTCTTGGTTCGTTAATAAGAAAATGAAGCTGACGGACAGCGGGACTCTCTCACGATGGCCCAAGCAACGACCTTTGAGCCCTAGCTTGTTTTATTAACAAGTCCCAAAGTGTCTTTCCAAATCATATTTGAAGTAAAAAAAAAAATCAGTCTTTAAATTCTTTCAGTGAACTATGTTCAACTTTCTTTATTTGGATTTCCATTGCAAGCCTATAAAAAATTTTAGGAATTTAATGCTGATGAGCCCATTTTGAAACTTTTGAGACCCTTTCATGTGGGAAATATTGCTAGCAGATTCTTTGAACAAAACTCTAATTTGCTGAGTATGATTAAAATAGACACATTGGGGGATGAAGAGATGGCTTGGTGATTAAGATGCTTAAATTCTAGTCCAGAGGACCTGAGTTCTGTTCCCAGTACACGCATAGTAGCTCAAGCCCACCTGTAACTCCAGTTCCGGGGAATCTTCTTCTGGCTTGTGTGGGCACTGCACATACATGATGCATATATGCTTAAACAGACCCACTTACAAACAGGAAATAAATTCAATAAGTAGATAAGTCTGTAGATCCTTTGTAAACCAGGCATAGCCATTATAGTGCAAGCTTGTACTCTCAACCCTGAGGAGGGGGACCATGGGCCGATCCCTATACATCCCTTGAGAAGTCATCTTCGGTTAATTGGTAAACTCCAGGTACCAACGAGAGAGGGATGAGGGACGTTAAAAAAACAAGGTGGGTGTCTTCCGAGGAGGAGCTGCAGTTCTGAAGTAGCGCTCGCTTCAGTCCGTCCACTCTTTCTCCTTAACCTAAGAAACAGCAGCCTTCGGGTTTCTGATGAAAACACTTGGATAATTGTTTTTAATCTTTGAGAAAGTAATTTGTTAAAGGCTCAGTTGAGAACATGCATAGGAAAGCCTGTGCTAAATCTGACACATCTTCCTTTGCTTGCTGTTCTCGGAGAGCACAGGAAACAGACAGAGAATTCGCTTTTTTTGTTTGTTTGTTTTTTATTTTTCCAGATAGGATTTCTCTGTAGCTTTGACGTCTGTCCTGGCACTCATTCTGTAGACCAGGCTGGTCTGGAATTCACAGAGATATGCCTGGCTGTGCCTCCCAAGTGCGGGGACTAAAGGTGTGTACCACCACCACCCGGCTCAGAGCATTCGATTTTAATGCCTCTCCCATGGTTACTCTTTTCTAAGAATTCCTATTCTGAACTTATCATAATGATATTAACTGTTCAACCCAGAGGGTCGTTTTCAGATGGATAGTTAAACAACTCTCACCCCTTGTCTGAGGACTCACTTGTCCTGGAACCATGAAAGGCTTACTCATTCCCTAGTGTCTCAAATGGAGTCTGTTGTGCACCTTTTTGGGGCACTTTGCCCCTTAACTGTGCCTTCTTTGAAAACTTTTACAAGGGAGCAGAGGCGGGGAAACAAAGAAGACCAAGAGAGATGTGTGGTGATATTTCACTTGTAAAATAAACAAAGCTGGCCTGGAGTTCACAGAGTAGAACAGCCACCCTGGTCAGCCTTATAGACCAGGCAGTGGTGACACACACCTTTAACCCCAGTAGCCACACTAGTTTGCCATAGAAACAAGGTGGTAATGGTGCACACCTTTAATCCCAGCCCTAGAGAGGAATATAAAATGGGAGGAGACAACTCTCAGTCAGTCTCATTCTGAGATTCCTGGAGGCAGGATCGCCATTTCCGACTGAGGTAGAGGTAAGAGCCAGTGGCTTGGTTGTTATGCTTTTCTGACCTTCAGGTTGAACCCCAATTTCTGTCTCTGGGTTTTTGTGCTACAGAGGTGGGTAGATGCTAGGAAAGAGGAAGACGCAGGTATGAAGTGTCCAGTGGACCTGGGAGCAGGGGATTTGCTCTGGACATTCTTTCTACAATCGCCCACCTCCTGCAGGAAAATGGAAGCAAGTCCTTGTTGAGCACAGTTAGAGTTGGCATTGCCTTACCGGTGTGGCTTTTGTTTTGTTTTCTTTATTGTTGACGTTTTCTCCTTTAACATACCAAAGACACAATTATTTCATGTACATGTGTGTTTGTCCGTATGTATGAATGCATAGCACGTGTGTATAGTGCCTAAGGAGGTCAGAAGGGAGCAGTGGGTCCCCTGGAAATAGAGTTTGTAGGTGGTAGTGAGCTGTCATATGGGAGCTGGGACTCAAACCCAGCTCTTCTTGAAGAGTAGTAGGCAGTGTTCTTAACTGCTGAGCCATCTCTCCTGAAGTTAGTTAGTTAGTTAGTTAGTTAGTTAGTTAGTTAGTAGCACCTTAATAGAAATTACTTTGAATCTTAATTTTCATCTCTCTAAATATCTGTGTGTGTGTGAGTGTGTGTGTATGTGTGTGTGAGTGACTGAGCAAACCACAAAAGAACCTCACTGTCATGATCACACAGACAAGATATTACTCTCACATTATTCAGGCTGCTTAGGATACGTGGCCTATTTTTTCCCCATCATCAGCAATACGGATGAGAGATGTCATCACTCTCAGAAGACAAAATGTGAGATGTCTTAGCAGACACCGTCAGATAATGATGCAAAGAATGAAACGAAATGGAGATGGACTAGACTCCTCGACTCTTCCCAGCCCCCTCGCCCTCTGCACGGTTTCTTTCTCTCATGGCAGGGCTCTCTTTGCAAGTGGTACCAATGACACCGTGAGCACTACCAATGACACCGATATATGCTTCCATGTCACTCTGTCTCCTCCCGAGTGGATCTTCACTCTCAGAGCAGTCCGTGTCATCCCCCAAGGGGGCACCCTCTCTTTCTCAAACCCTGTTTGGTAGGCCAACCCATCTCAAGAGTAGCTTAGGTGGGTAGTGGTGCCTGCTCACCTCTGGAACGCTTACCATCCTGCACCATTCAGTCTCAGTGGACAGTGGGAACCCACGTCATGCTCTATTAACAGAAATGTAAACCAAGCAGCTTACAGATCTGCTGCTTGAGTCTGGGGGATGGGGTGAGATGAAGAAGAGGGCCTGTGGGGAGACTGACAGGCCGTGAGCAAGCATAAAACGTGGGGAGGACATCTCCTGGTGCCCTAGAAGAATTCTGAGGCTTCCATCTGAAATGGTGGAAGGCGAACCCCGCACCCCCCCCAATCCACACAAGTCAACAGACCCAGTGCCCTGAGAGGTTTGTGATGTAGACTCCCCAGGAGTCCCTGAAGCCTTCTGAGCACCTCCAGCAGTGTCTGGATGATTAAGTGAAGGACTTGGAAGAGGCCTGAAGAAGAAGGTCGGTAAATATTTAAAGAAGGCTTTTCTGTGATGCTGAGACTGCTACCATATGGTGACCCTACTTGAACTTTGCCACAGGATGCTCCCCGGTGGGCAGGGTCTTCGGAACCCGAGTCAGTTCACCCTGTCTCACTTGCAGATTTCAATTTTAAGACTGGTTTTTAAGTTTTAATATCATCCGAATTGTGTGAGTGACAAGTTTACAGTAAAGGAAACCATTGGGCATCATTCCCCCCAACCTCCTCACCACCTTCATTTCTACTCTCGAAAGGCCACTTGCAGCTCTATCAGAATTTCTGGTAGACGCACCACAATGAGAAATGTCACACTCTGTTACTGCCTACCTTCTTAGTTCATTATCTACCGACATCTACAGAAAGAGGGGTCTGCTTCCTGTCACAGACAAAGCCCCCAATGTATAAGCACATTTCCCATCTTGATGCCCTCTCATACCCAGACATCATAACTATAACCAATAGGCATTGTTTCCAACTATTGCATAAACATCCTTTGTCACTTATTTTATTTGCTTATCTTGTCCCCTTAGCCCATTTTCATGTAGAATAGTTCCTGTCTGATTTACACTTCACATGGCCCTACCTTCTGCTTTGCTTTGCTTTGCTTTGCTTCACTGAGGCAGTCTCACTATAGAATGCAGACTGGCCTTGAACCTG